TTCATCAGCTTGTTAATGTGTGACTCGTTGAGATGTATATCATTTGTTTCCCTTTATTTTCTCACTCGAAATTCAGAGAGCAGAACGGAAAACGACATTTTTTGATGTATATTTAACTGTTTTTGGTTTGCAACGGACTGTGAAGTGACATCGATGCGTTCATCCTTCGTAGTTTGTAACCAAAACGACATAGAACATATGCCTTATATCATGAATACAAGATTTCATGTCGTATTTATCGAAAAAGGAAACGATCATGAAATTTCGTCGGTTAACCTCCAAGCAACCTCTATTCCCCCACCACTTCGTGAGGGTAAAGGTTAGTTAAAAATTCATTGCATTTTACCGAACAGGGATTCATAACATTTCTCTATATGAAACAAATCAACGGAACGAACTTCACCTTTCTATTAATATCACTCAGTAAAACTACTAGAACTTAACTTCAACTCAAACCTTGAAGAATTCCTTGCAAAAAATTCGTATTGGCCACACATAAGAACGAACACAATCCAGTTATCCGACATCTTCACGTAAACCCTAATCAAAAAATGACGTTTCGAATTCAAGAAGGATATCCGGACGAGTAGAATGTTTACTAACATCTGTTTGAATCCTTCAATCACCAACGGGTGATATAACTGAATTCTGCGTAAGACGAAGTGAAAACATCACAGTAGATGGAATCGTTCTCTCACTTGTTCCTCCAACATACTATTCAGAACGTGAAATACAACCAAAAGAATGCTGAGATATGAGCAAAATTCATGGCCACAAGTGGGCGTCGAAACGGCAATTACTCATTCCGAGGACGCTCGTGCTTATCTGCCACGCCAACTAATACCGTCGCTTTGCCTATCTCTACCGGTTCTTTAGTGCCTTTCTATTGGATGATTGCTGATAGCACCGTTGAAATAGAAAACTGGCTGAGAAAAAGACAAAGCAAGGCCTTCAGGCTGGTATGTTAGGTAGCACGTACGATCCTGGAAACGGTAATCGCTGGTTTGAAACCCAACTGTGGTTCCCACTTTTGCGCATATCCTAGAACCCTTTTAGCTGCATTTCACGTAATACCCTGCAATGAAGAAAGAGTAGAAAACAAATAAAAAATTAAATATTACTCGAAACTTATCTTGTTTCCAAAGTTGTTAAGTCTTCTTTCTGAAGAAGATGTTTACAATCGCAGCCTTGACAGCTATCCTTTTAATCTTCTACTGCTGACGAAATGACACCTGGTAGTTCTAGCTGAAGTACATACACCTGCTACTCATCAGAAAAAAAGAATTCAACTTTAAAATTCAAATTCAAGGCTCAAGAAACCTGTCCTGGACAATAAATCCACCACACGTTCCATCCTAAGCAAAATTCTAGAAAGTAAAACTTACAGTCGACTTTTCTCATCATACTTCAAAGTGATTAGATCATCTTTCCTCTTTCACTCCTACTTCGTCAGTTTTTTTTCTGAAATTCTCGCTTCCGATTTATTCGAGTTCCTTAGATTGTTTTAATTTGATTTTAGAGCGAACCCTATTTTCTTCTCTTAAGACCGGCTGCAACTGATATTTCAGCACAAAGGTCTACGACAATAAAGCACGCTAGCTGTTGGTTGTGCTATGAAATCAGAACAAATGGGATTTCGTCGAATACGAAAAAGTATTTTGATCGTTCGACAGAAAATTGCACAATTTATAGAATACTTAATCATTTTGGCGGACCGGTAATCATTGTTGACCTGGTCATGGGCGGCTAGCGAGGCAGCATGAATGTGTTGCGGCTGCAGAACACCCAAATCGGTAGTGATTGTTGGAAAATAGACAACCAACCACAGGTTACACAAACCATCGGTAACTCGTCGCAAAAGCCGACAGTTATCCTGGGAAAGAACTTTTTCGAGGCATTCAGTAATAATTAGACTAAAGTTGTTATTTAACGATATTCCAACGGTTGAGTACTTGCTAGGCAGAATAAATCTCTTCTGTTTCATTTTCTGATCCCATAATACCAACATGAGTGCGCGTGTAACATAGTAATCAGAGGCATCCTACAATACACATGGGATCGATCCCTGTTCCATCTCTCTGGGGTCGTCAAATTGATACCGGACTTGTCTGGGAGATAGTAGCAGTGGCTAGATACATCGATAGGCCATCGCGAGTCATTGTAAGGCCAGATATGCCTCTGACGATGCTTAATGAAGCTGAATGCATGGAGTATCCCTCAGGAACTGATCAAGGCCGGAAGTTTTATCCTTTATCCTTCAATACCAACTTAATAAAAACGGTCATACGATGTCACTCGCAATCCATCGCAGTACTTGCAAGGAGAAGAAAATTGACATCTGTTGAAGTTATCTCAGTCAAAATGTCTATCCGCGTATGATGTCATATGATGTCACGCTGTCGTGGATATGTTAACAAAGCAAATTTTTTTGAATCACCGATTAAAAAATGTCAGTGATGGCCTAGCTGTTACCTTCTGTTGTCATTCAAGTAGTGCTATATGTGTACTTATATTTTTTCAACATTTGATTTTTTCATTTAATTCGATTTCAACCTCTTTCCCTCACCACCATTACGGTACACATGATGGATAGAATAAGCCTTTTGTACTTCACATTGTCCAACAATACACACATATGTGGATTCTAACATTTCTCGCCTTCGATTCGTCCTCTCACATCCATCATCCACAGTGACTTGATTTGCGTATACAATCGTCTGATAGTTGTGTTAAGACATAGACATTCCAGGATCTTCATCACAGACAGCCTTCAGCACTTTGTGGGTACGTAGATAGCAAACTGATCTCAAAGTTGGTGTCTAGTACCAACTCGCCGACGCCGGAAGGATCAGGTTGTAATCCATACATGTTTATTGCTCCTTCGTGTAACATTGGGAGTTCAAGGATGTTTCGCATAGCTGAGTCATTCGGCAGGTTTGTTTAAAGTGCGATAAAGTCGAAGGAATCCATCGCATACGCGTTGTTACGACGCTGGTTATGTAGATCCAAGAACATCTGGGTATTCGTGAGAAGGGTCACGATCTGTTTATGCAGTTGGATGAGAATTAGGTCTATAAACCAAAATGTTCTATCCGTGGACCAGCCTACAGAATTGATGATGAATCTAACCTTGAATAATGATGGATCGATAGACGCAAGATCATCACTGGATACTAACTTATGCTTTCAGCAGTAACTACGAGACGGAACACGTTGGCAATTCAATTTTAAGCAGTAAAATAACTGGTAGTTTTAAACCAGCCACAACTCAAACTTCCTTTAGATCCATAAATGGTAACCACTGACGAAAATGTGCGAACGTCTCCTCTCCTTTTTCACCATCTTCATCATTTCCTAGCAATTCTAGGGAAAACAACCGACAACCAGCACACAACAACTCAGCCAGAAAAGACAATTACAGATCATCAAGCTGCAGCAAAACCCACATATAAGAACGCCTCCTTAAGCAACAGTTAGATGAATTGAATCAAAAAGCATCGCAGAAGTCATTATCTGGACTATACAACGTTTTGCGATCTCCTACCGATGTATCAAATGAATGTTTTCAACCCCACCGAAATGTGGCACCATGAGAGCTGAAAGCTATCTATATCTTATTGATTAAACCAATACAACCTGGAAAAGTGCTAGCATTCCATGCCGTTGTCGTTTCCTATGATCATACTTTGCATAGTCTATGGCTTATAGTCTAGTTAATCATATAATCATTGTTTCCTACAGCCCTAGCTCCACTACTAGTCAATATATCATAGCTTTCTCACCAGGAATACCCACGTAACCACTACAAATGTACGACACGACTCTTCGCTTACGAAACTATCTCAGGCCATGTCCTCCCAGTCATAACGCCAGACAAGACGTACTCCTGAAAGGATTCCTTACAAATCTCTTCCACCTATCTTAAAAACTGCAAACCCGTACACACCAAACCAATCAGCATCTGCCTTTCGCCCAAATGTTTTCTCACCACCGAACCTAAAGTCGACATTTCGTTATACGTTAACAAGTAGCGTCTTGAACTTGAACTCGACCGAAAATTGATGCCATAAATTTTGTCCCGGACACGTAACCCAGAAAAATATTCTCCTCAGAGACCATTTATTCGAAATTATAGATCTTTAAAAAAGAGACAAAAAGAGGCTCATTATTATACGAAACTTCATTAAGTTGATCACAGTACGCATTCAACCAGAACTGGAAGAAACAGCGCCCTATGGCGGTCCATCCAAAAGCTCTAAAGATCAGGCAGAGCACATAACCAAAGAACAGACAACAAAAATATGGTGACAGACATTAAAAAGGTTAAAATTTGATATTTTCCAAAGCAGACATACTTCGTGCTTTTATAGCAGATCTTACGCAGAAAAAAAGATAACAACTACCAGCTATCATTTGAAAAGCCAAACTCAGTGGTAAATTGTCTGTGGTGACAAAGACACGCCTAAAAAATGCTAAAAAGTGAAAAACTGAAAACAGTACGAAAGTGCGTGATGTATAAGAAAAAAACGATTACATTTACAAAAGAAGACGTTGTACGGAATCACTACTGTAACAGACAAAGTCACAACAGTGATATAAACATGTTGCAAATATTGCTCCTTAAGCCACTAGTGGATAGATAGAAACACACGTCCTTAACTAAAAACATGTACGCGTAACAGCTAAGGTTTAAAAAGCGAATTCTACTAGGCATTACGGTGGAATTAAGCACGTTCATGGCATGTAGCAAGTTATCAAAATACACAAAAGCGAAATTACAGACAATGAACAGATTCAGAATAGAAGAATGAAGAAGACGGTGTGACGAAATCTCAGAGGAAAACCACAATGTTAATCCAGTGGCAACCAGCACACTTTAAGAACTTCGACGGCGAAGCATGGACTTACACATGTACCCGAAGATCAAGAAGCCGGATCGGACAATGAATGAATCAACGATGACAACAGGTCGCCCGCTGCCAAAAAACAGAAGAGAATTCTTAGCAGCAACCGCCACTTCCACTTTTACCACCATCCAATGGATTTACGGTCATCCTTTGCTCTTCTACTTGTACCGGCATCTGTAATATTCGTGGCAGTTTTTTCAACAAAGTGACAACAATTAATATTAGTCAAAAATCGTGTCACATAGAAGTGAGAAAACGATAAGAAAAACGGACATACCTTATCCAGAATTGCTTCTGCTAGCTCATAAAAGGCCGTATCAATATGGATATTTGCTTTCGCCGAAGTTTCCAAGAACCTGGAACACGATATGCATACACTGCTGCAAATGCAGTTAATGATCAGGAGACAAAACTCTGCATCAATTAATGTAAACTTCCATAAAGAAAAATAAGTTGAGAGATTTGTAATATTGTAATATACTATGTCTCAGTTATGGACGCATGTAGTGCAATGGTCAGAGGCACTCAGCAATACGTATGCGATAGACCCCCACGTCCCAGGCTCACCAAGCCTTCCATCCACCCGGTGTCGGCAAATTGGTAATAAATTAGTGTGGGAGAATAGCAGCACTGGCTAGATACATCGGTAGGCCACCGCGAGTCACTGTTAAGGCCATATATGCATTGTATCATCTCCAACGATACTTGATGAAGTAGAATGCATGGCGCATCCCTCAGGAATTGATCAACGCCAAGAACTTTATCCCTTTTTACGGCTCAGTTTAGAAATAAACACATACGACTCGTTAATGATATATTTGCTACCTTCATGAGACAGATACTGATGAGTTAACAAGAATTCAGGCATTATTGTATTGATCACATAAGATCTAGATTAATGGGGACATTTACAACTGAAATAACCCTCGTATACAATTCTGAGATATTCGCAAAACTCCGGACCGCAGGTGTATGCGGTGAGGAACGAACACGCGCTGTTGTCCTTACCAGGAGATCGATAGAATTAGCTGAAAGACAGGCAAGACGAAGAACCCGGATGGTGTGGTGGTGAAGTGCGCTGCTCTCCGGTAAGGACAACAGCGCGTATTCTTTCCCCACCGCATACACCTGCGGTCCATAGTTTTGCAAATATCTCAGCATTATATACGAGTTATATTTCGCAACATACCTTGCCATTTAAAAAAAGGCAGTAAATAGAAGGGTTAAGATTGAAATAACACTATTAAGAAAGGACTCAGGTCCACTATAAGCTAACCTTATACCATGATCCTTGGCAATTTTCTCTCCTCTTTCACGACTTACAACACGCCTCTCGGTCATATCACACTTGTTGCCAAGTATCATTTTTACTACATCTTCTGATGCATGCTGAAAGTCAAGAACGTCATAAAACGGAACAGTTATCAGTTACTTAGAAAAGACCATTGTAAACACATAACACTGCAAATTCGCGACCTCTCCCTACTCAGAACTCTACGCGAGTCACTAAACATATGTAAAGGAAATATCCCATATAATATATCAGTGTCAAAACAAACCTCATCAATGTTCCGCAACCATTTCGCAATATTGTCAAAACTCTTGGCATTTGTGATATCGTACACAAGCATAATGCCCATTGCTCCCCGATAGTAAGAAGTTGTTATAGTATGGAAACGTTCCTGACCAGCAGTGTCCCTACATAGTTATTACTATAGTAAAAAACTAACGTCTGTTACGAAAGGATAACGAGACAATGTTTATAGTCAATGTACAAATTACAATGTATCAGCTCGTTCAGAATGAGATATCTACTCTCGCAGTAAGATAATTCCAGAACCAACGATTCAAAAGCATACATTTCCCTCTACTTTTAATTTATATTCTTATATGTCTATGTAAGGTGAGTGTAGTGCGGTGGTTGGAGACGCCCTGCTATACACATGGCGTCGATCTCAGTGCCCCAAGCTCACCAAGCCTTCCGTCTCTCCAGGTTCAGCAACTTGGTACCAAACTTGTCTGGGAGGATAGCTCGATACAACGGCAGGCCCACGCAAGTCTTTGTAAAGGCCATACATGCATTCAGTCATTTCCAGTGATACTTAATGAAGTCGAATGCATGGTGCATCCTTCAGGAATCGATCAACGCCGAAAGCTTTGTCCTTTCATTTACTTTAATGTTTACATAAACCTATGTTCAGTTCACGCTATTGGAACATGGAAAATCGTGTATTGGAGCATAACCCAAAAAACAAAACTTGAACATGAAGACTCATAGAAAGTGACACTGAAGAAGGCAGAAATTGCCGAAACGTCAACTTCTGTGAATAAAGAGTAAAATAACAGCCTCATGCGTATCAAGAACATAATGAGAGTTGAACATCTCCATCGAAGTTACTCTTAAGTGCAAAGTCGCGAACGCTCCACACAACATCAATGTCGTTTTCATAAAGGAACGATTAACGTATTGTTGTATGATACAACGGACGTTTTGCAATTTCAGAGGATACAGACGCCGTTTGAGTTAAACAAATTGCAATTGTAGAAGAGATTCGGAAATGAGTCGAAGACGTAAGGAAATCGTCACCTTCGTGAAGCAGAACGCAATTATGAACAACAAAAACTCCTTCCTAATCGCAGCAACCAGATATTGGATTTTGTTCGACGACCGACGACTTCCTTCACAAAACTGCACAATGATGAAGCATTTCTTTTTCATTTCATATGACCCGTCTTCACCTCTATTGCGCGGATTCCAGCACTTCTCGTATTCGATTCGTTTCTTCGCATCTATCATCCACGAAGCTCTTCCAACTTTTACGTATAGTTTCTATTGTTGCTTGAGGATTATCACTCCATCTTGAATGTCGCAGAATGCTGGTCGAACAACTCTCCCTGGAGCCCCGAGATAGAAGGGCTGGCGCGTTCCCATTTGGACTGCAGAGAGGGTTATCTTTTCCGACAAGTCCGGTATCAATTTCCTGACCCCGGAGGGATGAGGCTTGGTTGGCCTAGAGCGGAATCGAAATAGCACCATGCTCATGATGACGCACATCACTGTCACTATGCTAACCACCCCTGATAAAGCATTACAAAACATAATAATCAATCATTTGATTAAGAAAACGGTTACGTTCACTATTCCTCCGAAAGAATACGGAGTTATCTACTGTAAAAGAAAAACTACCGCTAGATTGACAATTGATAAAATATATTAGAAATTGCAACGCCTACAACCAACACTTATCAACTTGAGACAATTAAAAGATAAAAAGGATAAAGCTCGCAGCGTTGATCAATCCCTGCGGATGGCGCCATACATGACTTCACTAAGCATCATTCGCGGTGAACGAATGCACATCTGGCTTTTAGAACGACTCGCAGTGGCCTACCGATGTATCGAACCAATGCTACCATCCTCCCAGACAAGCCTGGTACCAATTTGTCGACCCCGGTAAGACGGAAGGCTTGTTGAACCATGGCTGCGGGGATCGAACCCATGTGTATTGCAAGGCACCTCCGACACTGCGCTACGCGCTCCCTACCGACCCTATCCTTACCCTGGCAATTATGCCACAAAATGCTTCTCACGCATCCATGTTTCATAAGTTGTTGTTCAGAAACTGGACGGATTATAGCACTAAATTCTTCTTCAGCCCCACAACACAACAAAACTATTACCAAAAAATAACCACCTCTCCAAATATTTGGACAGTTTCCATCGAAAGAAATTCGCCAACTATAAACCAGTTGAGACTCTGTTGGATCCGACCTTTTATGTAGAGGAAATCTATAAGCCTATAACGTTTGGCAAAAACGGATTGACTTCATGGCTCTCACTTTCATTAACAAAGTGGAAACTTAAAAATTCATATTATTTCAAAAATTACGCCAGAAGTCGGATATCTCATTCTGAATAACCAGCATCAATGACATAAGGGAGATTTTTATACATGAAAAGAACTCTTTTAAATGTGAGTCATCCATGTCAACAACAATGAAAGCCAACGAAAAACAAAAAAAACATTGAATTTCCAATGACTCACCATATTTGAAGTTTAATTTTCTTCCCTCTCAATTCAATAGTCTTAATCTTGAAATCGATACCTGAAAGCAAAACTCCAAAAGCAGGAATTCTGTCTGCCCAAATAGAATGTGTTGTTTGAGGGTAGGTCAGTAAGAATCGGAACACAAAAACTTCAATAAAAACCTATGAATACGCCGATGTTGTCATAAACATCGAAAACCACAATTCATAGAGCTGTAAAACCTTCTTCTGGTTACTGAGTAGTGCATACACGGCGCAATAAAATCATATTTGCTCACACCTACATGAAAAGTTTTACAAAATATAACCATACTTTACCTCACTAACTATGACTACGACATCAATGAAAGAAAATGTGAAAGTACGTACAACTGATAAAAAAGAGATGAAATCATTTTACTTACTTACTCTGACACACGAATGGTCCGTCTTTACTGGTTGTGCGGGCCCCAGCATAATCACTTTTTTAATATTTGCTAGTGAAGCCATTGTGGTTCTCTGGAACCCCGAGGAGAGCCTGGCCAAAGTCTGTCCAAGGTCGTCACCACCACAGGCAATGGCAGCCCTTGTGGATCGGAGGGAGATTGGCCACCATGCGACTAGTTTGCTACCAGGACGGTTGTGGATCCTGGTATGGGTTTACCGTTAGCTAGGCTTCCTGATGGAAACGTCGGACTCCTCAGTTTGTGAGACCCTGCTCAAGGGTAGTATACGAGTATGCAAGGTGGAGACATTGAAGAAGAACTTATAAAATGAAAGAAAAAGTACGACGAAATATACAAACTGACCAATTGTGGAGATGAATGTTGTGTTGAAGGCGTCGTCACTAAATCGATAAAGTATACAAGTTTTGCCCACACCCGAATCACCAATGAGCAACAACTTGAACAACAAATCATATGGTCGACGAGCCATATAGGTGAACTGCAATTTCTGCAATCATCCACGAGTAAATTCACTTCATAGCACTTCCTAACACGAAAGTATCTGCTCGTTGAGCGTTGAGCGAAGGCGAACAGCCGCACGAAGGGACTCACAAAAACTGATAACGTAAGCACAGAGAAAACGGATTGCTAAAGCCCACACTCAAGACATCAACTAGCTGTGTGTTACGAAATAAAAAGGAACTCGATGAAATGAAGGAAAAAGAACTCATCAAAGACGTTGAATCTTAAGGCAAAGCTCCCCGTGGTGTCGTTGTAAAATTGAAAACACGTAGCACTCACAACATATTGATTCCTCACTACAACGCCGAAAACGAACAGATGTAACGCAGTAGACACAGGTCTTATACAATACACATGTGATCTCGTTGGTTCGATCCTTTGCTCTGGGCTGACAACTCCTCCCTCTCTCACCTATTCCTCTGGAGTCGGAAAACTGGTATCAGAATTACTACGGAGATAAAAACAGTAACTTCATAGATACCCAGACCTCGTTAAGCTATGTTATAGCAAATACGTACTTAGTCATCTTTACGATTCTCAACAGGGCGGAGTTGGCTTGACGTATCCCTCTGGAACGGATCAAAACGCCAGACGATTTGTCCTTTATCATTTAACGCCGAGAAACAACAAAAAGTAACAAAACGATCAATAACGAAAAAGCTTCGAAAGAAAACTGGTCAAAACCTCTACCTCATTCACTCGTTCGTCAGAAAGGTAAATACTTCACAAAAGAATAGAACTAAAACACAAATTACCAATGTCTAAGTGGCAACGATAAACTTCCAATGATCGGGACTAGTTAAGACACTGAATAACGGAAATCTGTGAACTGCCTTGGGATGCCTACATAGAAAATTCGTGCTCAGCGATGAAATCGATTTGTGCAAAGATGCGAGAAGAAAGAAAGAACCCACATGGTGTGGCGGTGAACGCGTTAGCCTCCGGAAAGGATACTAGCGTGTTCGATCCTCACCGCAGACACTTGCCGTCCGGAGTTTTGCAAATACCTCAGCACCATTATGATTGGAAAGATATTCACATTGCATTTATGAAACGATAATCGATAAATGTAACACTTGGGGAATCCAAATGCACGGGATTAAGAGTAGTAAATTACAAGTAAAGAAGATCAGAGTACATCACTTTGCAATGAAATGCTGAACACGACAGCAACTATGAACAATTTCACAACATCGTCCGAACAAAAGTCAAACAGTCAACGAGAAGATGGCACCTTCGTCGTCACTATGCTATCGATTCGACGCCCACTTGCGGACTTCTCCGAGTGAACGGATGTAGTTCATGGGATCCAGAAAAAGCTTTCCACCTTCATACATTCGGCAGTCACTAGAATATTCTGTCCCAAATAGGATATGGTAATGAGAAATGTCAAATGAAATCACAATGAGTACAGGCTTTCATTGATTTGTTCAACGAAGAGAAAACCTATGCTAATCGATGCAAATACGTCCCACTACTGGTAGACAAGAGAACTAATGAAGGAAATCAATACTAAGAAGTAACGAATGCGATCGATAACGTTAAATAAGAACGCATGTTTTACACAGTGGAAAGATAGCTGCACTTTTGTACTTCATGGCTGTATTCTTAGAATTCCTAGCTCTGCTAACTGACGATCGACGAATTTCGACACATCGACAAAACTGACGACCGAACTTGGACCTTGAAATCTTGGATAGGAGGTATCTCATTCATAAGGAGATAATGGATTACTCGACCATCCATCCCTCGCTTCTACTTGAGCCAACAAGCTCCGGCGCCACTCCTGGATTAGGTCAGCTTGCAACTCGCCCGGGTACTGTTAACGCCCATCAATGAAAGGGACCAGTTGATTCAGTAAAACCTAAATTCTAATTACAATCGATGGAGAAAAAAACCACAAAACATCCGTAGCAGATGGCAAATATATACGAATTCTAAAATGTTCTATCTACGTAAAGGACAATAAGAACTTTGGGACACGCCAAGAATAGTGGCCTAAATCGATTTAAGAACTTCGACTATCTACACTGTCGAAACACTACTGACGGATTGATAGGTCGACTTAGAACCGACGACTACTCGTGCTCGTTATCGAACCATACTGTCATCTTTCCTAACTCCTCACTGTTTCGTGTCTCCTAAAGGAAACAAAACGCAAACCAGAGCCGGTTAAGGTGCCTATTCTTCCTAACCGAATAGCCCTGCGATCAATACCTGAGACTGGAAAACGAGCAATCCTTTCATTGGTCCTCCTTATCCGTGAAGACAACGTTCACGCAATCACTTTTCAAAACTAATTCTTTCATAATGTTCCACTTCCACGCTGTGTTCTGACCAATCCACAACAGCACTTTCTCCTGGGAGAAAAAAACTCGTTAAAACAAGGAGCACTGGAAAAACCTGTTCTGTTCTACATGGATTACTACCGATTTAAGCACTACAAGTAGCAACGTTAACAAGAATGCAATCACTTTCTATTTACTCCCTATTCTTTTTTTTTTTCTTGCAAGATATGCTGTGAAATACAACTACAATGATGCTGTGATATTTGTAGAACTCCGAACCGCAGGTGTCTGCGGCGGAGATCGAGTCTCGTTATCATCCTTTCCAAGGGCTAACGTGTTCGCCCCCATACCATGCGTGTCCTTCGTTTCGCTCTTCTCTCACTAACCCTTTCTCACTAATAAGAATGTATTTTTTGCTGTGAATATTTGCTGGGAATGAACCAGCAAAGAATATTTGGCAACTATACTGTTACGAAATTCCTATGAGGCCTACCGTAGTGCTCTGACTTTTCATTAACTGCGCTTTTTTTTGAAGCTACTAAACAATGAAACATTGTTGACTAAAACCCGTACTAGTGAATAATCCTTCATTATCGAGTAACTCGGTCCGGCACCACAAAACCGTCACGAAATCAGAACCACCTAATGGATTCCGTTGTCCCAAAGGACAGTAACAGCACGTACTATTGTTACGATGACCTTTTCTATTCGTTTTGTAATTGTAATTGTAGCCACGGGTATGTCATCGGGATCTGCTGTGTCCTGGGTTTGCAGCTGGCTTGGAGATCCTAAAGGAACTTATGGATTAGTCAGCTCAGATGACCACATTGGAGACTGTAGTACATTGAGCGCACCTCACAGATGGATTATCCGAGCATTACCAAGAAAACAAGTTCCACGAGAACAAGCTAAATACTTTCCATTCACTAAGTAATGGTTAATTAGGGGCGCGTCCAGCGCTATGGTCGGAGGCATCCTGCAATATACATGGGATCGATCCCCGCGTCCCAGGCCCACCAAGCCCTCCATCTATCCGGGGTCGGCAAATTAATACCAGACTTGCCTGGATGGATAGCAGTACTGGATAGATACATCGGTAGGCCACCGCGAGTCAATGCAAAGGTCAGACACGCATTCAGTCATCTCCAATGATGCTTAACGAAGTCGAATGCATGGCGCATCCTTCAGGGATTGATCAACGCCAATATCTTTATCCTTTATCCTTAATGGTTAGTTAATGCTAGATGATCAAATCGATGCAACCAATTATCACCAGTTTCTTTAGAAATTATCTTTTCGAGAATCTAAAGTCTTTACCTCTAGTGAGATGCACCGAACGCTGTCGAAAATAAAGTTAAGCAAGAATAAGAAGTATTGACAAAAGATTATTATGTAATGTGCCAAAAAAGTGAGAGAAAACAAAACTATTCTGAGACATGAACTTATGAGAATGTGTTCAGAAGAACACTTACTTAGATGACCGGTCCTCAATGGCGACTCCAGTGCTTCATTCATTCGTTTGGTTTCCTTGCCAACCGTCAACCATTGGGGTGGTTAGGTTCGCACCCACGTTCGGCTACGAGTTGACGGCTTGCCTTCTTTCCTCCTCATTGATACGAAGGATTCCAACGGATTGTGGTTTTTACTGGAAACACGAGGTAGCTGGAGCCTTCCTGGGCTTTCATCACAAGTGTTTATACACCCTTGTCCACTGGAGTGAGTATTTACTGGTTTGTGACAAGGAATGGTCGGTTAACCGACCAAAGACAATGTAACAGGTCAAATGTGAAGAAAAATCTCGAAAAAGAGAAAGCACAGAATAAGAAGACTTAGTTGATGAGAAGGCCATGAGAAGTTCAAGTAATTCCGACAGAGTTACCAAACAACGAATTCACCATACTCAAATGGTCCGATCCGCCATATATCAAATCCAAGTAGACCTAAGAGCATCTCGAATTTCGATACCTTGTTGGTTGGATAAGATATCCTCCCGTGGTTTTCATAGCCTTAGCAATGTATTTGTTCCCAGACAACAAACGGACGGCATACAAAGCCCTGACGACAGAAAAACGATAATAAATGCATTTGCTGATCGACATATGCGCCAATAAATTACAAGAATCTCAAACAGTGAAAACATTGACGCGAAGAAGAATAGTGAAAAGAAGGACTGAGATGAGAACGTCATTCTCTGTCAGTTTTCTGTTTCAACTGCTCACTCATTTCCTCCCGAACACTACCATTCCTGGTTTTTAGTTTACTTCGTGTTTGAAGCCGCATTAAAAGCATTAAGTGGAAGAACTTCCGTATTCACGGCAGTGAATTGTCAGCTCAAAACAAACTAACATCGTAAAGGATAAAAGATAAAGCTTTCGGCGTTGATCAATCCCTACGGGATCCGCCATGCATTCGACTTCATTGAGCGTCGTTTGGAGGTGACTGAATGCACATCTGGGCCTTTAGAATTAGAACGACTCGCGATAGCCTACTGATGTATCGAACCAGTGCTGCTATCCTCCCAGACAAGTCCGGTATAAATTTGCCGACACCGGAGGGATGGAAGGCTTGTTGGGGCCATGGGCGTGGGGATCGATTCCACGTGTGTTGCAGGGGGCCTTCGACCACTGCGCCACACTACGGTAGCTGCTATGAGTTCTTTGATGTGTTCTGTGCTCTTTGC